TAATTACATTATTTTTTGGCGACCCGGAAGTTATTCTGTTCGCGCAGGCGCAAATGAGCTGATGGTACGGATCGTGCTACCGGTACGGATCGGGTAGCGACAGGCCTAACGGTTAACAATGTTCTTCCTCTTCTTCTTGTAAGGTTTTATGGTGGTTTGTAAACTAGTTAAAGTGCATTACCGCCAACAACTGATAAGGAGTTAAACAAGGAAACAGGAAACAAGATTCACCCCCAGAAAAAACAAAACAAAAAAAAACAACCTTAATAATAGTTTTCCAAACTGTATGTTTTAACCCAACATATGATACATTATCAAATTTTTCCTTGTAATTACTAGTTTGTCTTTATGTTTATGACAGTCAGTTTCTGATGGTCCTACTGGTTTTCCCATCATATTTTTAACCGTTTCCCAGTTTAATCTCTAACTTGAAGATAGTTTTCTGCAGCTTTCACTATTATTAAGATTTTTTTTTTGGTGTTGGTTGTCGTTTGTGTCACTTCTACCATGAAAAGAACAAAATCTTTCTTTCTAAGAATCATTAAGTCTTTTGCAGTGTTGCGTCTCTCCTCCAGAGGTTTGAACTGGTCATTTGCTGAACTGTTGGTTTGGGTCTTTCTGACTGGGATGGGATCCTTTTTGCAGTTTTAGCGGAAGTTATTCTGAGCTCTAATTTCACTTTTCTGAATTCTTCCGATCTTTTACTCACTTCACACCCGCGATATGCAGCAGTATGTTCTCCACCACAGTTACAGCGTTTCATTTTAACTTCCTTCCCACATTTTCCATACTGATGCTCTCCAGCACACCTTCCACATCTTGTTTTCCTTTGCATCCAGCTGGTATATGTCCACATTTTTGCCATTTGAAACATCTCCGAGGCGGACGATTGGACATTTTCACATTGTAGCTCATTGATCCAAGGAAAACTTTACTCGGTAACTGCTCTTCTTCAAATTTGATCAGTACTGATAAGCTGTCACACCTTTCTCTATTTCTTGTTTTTAATCATTTCACCTCTTTTAC